TGCATGCGTTCGGATTTTTGGGATTTCTGGGAATGCTGATCACAAAAATTAAGTCAGATTTTGAAAATTGTAAAGTATCAGAACTTATATTGCAAAAGTAAGCTTCACTTCTAAATAGAATGCTGTCAAAATTTCAGCCAGATCCATCGAGTAGTTCCGTTTTTTTCCTCGAGCAACGTAAACAACTTTTGCTTATTTTTAACAATGGAAAAAAATGAGCTCCGAACGGTAATAAATCATTTCTATTTCAAAGGTCTTACACCGATTGAAATCAAAGCTGAGGTAGATACAGTTCATCTTAAGGTGTATCAACTTAAGGAGCTAAAACGTGCGCAAGAAAGATCATGACTAATTCAAGCATCAAACACACAACGTCGCCCCGAAGCCCACCGATGAACAACAAAGAATGAGAGCTTACCAATGTGATATGATTAATATTTGAACTTTTAATATTAATTAAAATCCCTCAAGCATTCTAACTTTGCATATTAAAAGAAACGTGTTCAAATACTTAATATTACATTATGTGAAAACTTTAGGTCCGTAAAAATTGCGATCAGTTATATACTCGAACTCACGTTTTTATGCCGTACGTGAAACGATAAGCTCCATTCAGCTATTCCCTGCACCAATGGTCATCCGATTCTCGAAAATTGTATTTCTTTTATAAACTCTAAACTCAGAAACTTTCCATTCATTTATACGACATTCACAATCTCTTAATTTTTATTTTTCACCAAAGTGAAAATCTCTCTTAATATTAAAAAAAAATGTTATTCTCTAATTCGAGGGTGGCTCAATAAGTCCTTAGAAAAAGATAGAAAAACAATTTTTTTTTTATTTTTTAACATAATCATCTCTTAGCTCAATACACTTTTCGAGGCGTCCTCCAAGTATTTTTAAGCCGTTTGAAAGAAATAATTTTGGAAGTTCTTCAAAATAACCATTTGTTTGTGTTATGACTTCCTCATTCGAGATGAATTGTTGTCTGGCATGCCACTTTTTTAAGTTTGGGAATAAAAAAATATCACTAGGGACTTAATCTGGTGAATAAGGTGGATGGTCTACTAATTCGAAGTTCAATTCCATAATTTTAGCCATTGAAACTAAGCAACTGTGCACTTGTGTATTTTCTTGATGAAACGGAATTTTTTTTTGTTTAAATGAGGCCGTTATTCCTTTATATTCTCGCATAACCGGTCCAACAATGACGCATAATACTCTCCAGTGATTGTTTGTCCCTTTTCTAAATAATTGAAGAAGATAATTCCACGTACATCCCAAAAAACAGTGTCCATAACCTTGCTGGCCGATTTTACTGTCTTAGCCTTCTTTGGAGCTGTTTAACACTTCACAATCCACTGTTTTGACTGTTCCTTCGTCTCAAGAGTGTAGTGGTGTATCCACATTTCGTCTACAGTTATGAATCGACGCAGAAAGTCGTTAGGATTACCAGGATCCAGGATCTTAGATCCACCACTGATAAGTTTCTCCGCGAGTTCCGCAGGAAGCCGGATCGATGCCACCTGCATACCTACGTATTATTGTCGCAGATTTATCACCGCGTCAGTGATGACCTTCCACTCCGGACCAGCCGCTTTTTGCAGGGCCTTAACAACCTGTTCCTTGGTCGTCGACTCGGTTATCTCCTTGATTTCGAGGTTTGCCTCCTGTACTTTGCTGATAACCTCCGCTACAGCCGCCAGCTTGTCGCCTACCCGGCTCCTGAGCGCTTCAGTTTTTTTCCCTGTTTCTGCCTTTCAGTACGACCAACACTTCATTTTTCCGTGTCCTCCGTATTCTCATTAATTCGCTCTCTTCTCCCTCTACCTGATTCTCTGAGAAAAACTCTTCCACTTTTTTGCAGAGTCTGGAGTAATTTTCTCCAGGGTTCCTGGCCCGAACTAGCAAGGCATTTGTTAGTTTTTGAGGGCCTCGTTTTGGTAAAGGATTTCTCTTCTTTGGCTCTTCTTTCTTCTTCTTCTTCTTTGCATTCTTCTTTCTTCTCTTTTCTTCCCTGGGCTCTTCCCAATTTTCAGCCTTTTCTCCTTCCTCCCGGGTTTTGCCTCGTTCAGTCTGCTTCTCTGCAAATACCGCCGTATTCTGCTGATTCCTCTTATTCCTCTTGACTGTCGCTGTTTCCATACAAGGCGGAGAGCCTGCTTTTCGCTTAGGCGTGCCGTCAGAGGAATTCGGCAGTTGTTTATCAGTCGGCGTCGAGAACAGTTTCTTTCTTATGCCAACGGGGTCTTCGACCCAACGGTTATCAGGAGCTGGTACCTTGTCAATCTGCTCCTTTGGCATTTCACTTTTAAGGCTCCTGAACGCGTTTTTAACCTTTTTCGCTAGGCCGCGCGTGTTATTATTAACTGTTCTCTGGCTTTTATCGTTCAGCATCTCCAGAAGCTCCTCTATTGCTTCCTCGAGTTGCTGAAGCTTGCCAGCAGAGCCATTCTCTACGTCACTTGTAGCATTAGGTACTACAGGGGTCGAGTGACCAACCCCTGCAGCACTGCGGTCATGAGATGACGACGTCGGGGAGCCCGCTTGCTTACTCCCACCAGGCGCCGGTACTAGGATATCCCTCCCTTGCACCGTAAACGATTTACTTTGAGTTGTACTCGCCATGATTGGTTTATATTCGGAGCACTTACTCCTAGTCCGTGACCCTGGACAGGGTTTGTGTTTGGTCCGCGAGAGGTATTTTATTTCCCTCAAGCCCTCCCGCTATTGGCAAGCCAATAGCAAGCGAGCCTCCCTATCCACCACCTGGGACGCGCCACGTCGGGGTTCACCTCCCCGTCTACTTAGACTACTAAGTAGACTACTAAGTGTGTGTGTGTGTGTGTGTGTGTGTGTGTGTGTGTGTGTGTGTGTGTGTGTGTGTGTGTGTGTGTGTGTGTTTTTTTTTTTTTTTTTTTTTATTAAAGAGAGTTGGAGAATGCTTTATGCACGTAACGGCCTGTGGGAATCCCTAAGCATGGTATACCCACTAAACTCCCATCTCTCTATGTCCTGCCTGTATCCCCCGCGGGAACCGCCCGCGCCGCTAGGCATTACTTCGCGGGGGGGCTTCTGCTATATTAGCCTTGTCTTCTTCATTACCTTTCGGCTGTTTCGTTTTCTTCGATCTTCATCGTCTTCGGCTATGTTAGCCTCGTCTTCTTCTTACGGCATCGATTTACACGTCTTCTTCCAACGGCATCGTCCGGTCATCCTCTGGACAGACTCCACCTCGACACCTACATTCCTCTGCATCGGGTGAGGGAGTCTGGGCTCAACCCAATGTCCTTTACTCTCCCGCAAAGGCAGGGGAGCCCTTAGGATAGGCTGGCGCCTTGTTATCCTATGGACATAGGTGACCCCAGATCCTACGTTCCTCTGCATCGGATGGGGTGACCGCGCTCTACCAACTACTCTGTGGTAGTTTAGGAGCGCTTTTTAGTCCCATAGTCTGGCACCTCGCTCTATCTATGCATGATAGACCTGACACGTCTTCTCTCTTCCTCCTTTCTTACTTCGGTCAGCCGGTTTACCACTGACGAGGCAAAGGTCACTACCGTTTCCTATCCCTCTGACGAGCCGAGCAGGCAAGCTCCGAGCCCTTCGGGACTCATTGGATCATTCCACTCCGTGCGGAAATGCATCCGTTCTTCAGCGAAGCGGGGACACACAAATAGGACATGTTCTACGTCCTCGTCAGTGCGTGGACAGGCTGGGCATTCGGCACTCGCATAGATACCGATGCGTTGGAGATAACTGCGGAAGCAGCCATGACCGGTGAGCACCTGTGTCAGTTGGAAGGTGAGGTGTCCGTGGCGCCTGCCTGTCCACTTGTCAATGTTCGGGATGATGCGATGAGTCCAGCGACCTTTCACTGCGTTGTCCCATTTTCTCTGCCATTCTCGCATTAAATTTTGCGTCCACCGTTTGCTGTGGACATGTCTATCAGCATTGTTCTCTTCGTTACGACCTCCTTCACGGTATATTTCTGCTCTGTCGCATGCTAGTAGGTCGATAGGCGCTATTCCAGCGATTACCGAGACTGCAATGTCCGATACAGTTCGGTATGCACGGGCAACTCGTAGCGCTGCTGCTCTGCAGGCTCTTCGACACGTCTGTGTGTGTGTGTGTGTGTGTGTGTGTGTGTGTGTGTGTGTGTGTGTGTGTGTGTGTGTGTGTGTGTGTGTGTGTGTGTGTGTGTGTGTGTGTGTGTGTGTGTGTGTGTGTGTGTGTGTGTGTGTGTGTGTGTGAAATTAATTACTTAAATAAGCTTTTTTTTCAGCTTATAACTCAACTCTTTTATTTTATTTTATTAATTTAGTTACTGATATTCAACTCAGTACGTTTTATAAGGACCCTTGATTAAGAACAATCTCGTAGAATAAAAAGAATTTTTAAATGATATACTTACTTTTAAAATTTCAAGTTTCAAATCTTGTGCCTTGTAGCGCGCCAAACTATAAATATCTGCGCTTCACTCGATTATTTAACTCACAAGTTCAGACATTTCGCCTGAATCTTTGTCTCAATATATTTCTACATTGTTTTCTAATAGACAGTAATCATCAGATTTTTCCTCGGTAGATCATAACTACTCTTCCAAGTACACTCTGCTTCCATTGTAAGTCCATTAATACTGTATTATAACGTGGGCTGAAGGACTGGTGATTAAGCAAATAATTTTTTAACACAATACAAATAGTTACACTTTATATCTACTTATTTATTAATATAAAACATAATCAGGATAGCTCAAGAACTCTAGATGTATTATCAGAATGAAAACTCTTAAAGATTTTAATACATGCGCTCACGCTTATTAGTCACATTAAACTAATAACTATGCGCTCGCTCGCAGCTCGCGTGTCAACGTCGTATCTTATGCTGGGAGGGATTTTCAACAGAGTTGTGACTACACTTAATTTGGCAAATTCGTTCTTTATGCATTTTTTTATTTTTATATTTTAAAATTGATTAATTTTCTTATGTAATTACAGGACAAAAACCAAAAACATGAAAATATATTTGAAAACGACAATCACTGCCATGAAATAATCTCTGAAATCAAGAACGATGATACTTCTGATGATGTTGCTAAAAAAGTAAGGATTTCAGATTTAAAAGTTAGTGACTCTTTGATTCAAGAGTATCAAATGCAGGAAAATTCCATAAATTCAAAAGATATATTTAATAATCAAATTGAACTTGAAAAGAAAACACTGTTACCAAATGACTCAACAATTTTAAAAAGCTCTTTAATTAATGACCAACAAATAAGCGAATATTCACCTTTAATTGAACCAGCTAATATTAAAATAAAAGAAGAAATATTGCAAGATTCACTAGATATAGACGAAGTAAAAGAAAACGATAATGCACAAGATTATGAAATTGCTACTTATGTTAAGATTGAGCAGATTGAAAGTGGTAATGAAAACACAGACAGTGCATTTAGAAAAGATAAATTTTTATCTAATAGAAGTATAGTAATAAAACAAGAAAATATAGAAGCTTCTGAAATCGCCAATGATATAGATGATGAAGAACCTGCTATAGGAAAATTACAAGGAGGTAGAGCGATAAAAACATACTCTAAAAAACAGAATGCCACTATCGATAGCGAAACCGAAAATGAATCCAGCTGGGAAAATGCTGATTATCGAGCATGGAAAAAATCAATAATGTTAGTATATCATAGACTTTCTACAAATAAATATGCGTCTATATTTCTTAGACCGATAACAGAAGATCAAGCACCGGGATACCATTCAATTATATTCAAACCAATGGATTTGTCAACAATCAAAAAGAAGATAGATAATGGTACTATAAGATCAACTTCTCACTTTCAAAGAGACGTGATGCTCATGTTCCAGAATGCAATAATGTTCAATAAGTACAGTACATTTGTACACAAAATGACTCTAGAGATGCAAGAAGAATGTCTTCAGCATATGCAGGTAAAAAATTTTGTTTTACATAAATTAATTTTTATGAAACATTAAAATAGTTTTAAGAGAAGTATGCACTCTTATATTGAAGTATTAATAATTTTTTTTGTAGCTCTATAAGTTTGAATAGATAAGGGGGCAGCAAGAACATTTTACTTATACTATTTGAAATTCTTCAGGTGAAACAAAATTTCGTATTACCATCAGAGAATATATGAATACATCCAAATAAACTCTGCACTATATACTAGCATAATTGTTAATGAGCCATCAAAATTTTGTCGATAGTTATTAAAAAGTTTATATTCATTTATTAATTATTCACTTCCTTATTCTAAAGCTTTTTCTGTCTTCAATAATCAGATAAAACTTGAATAAAATGATGTAATCAATCATAATCTTATTTAAAAGATCAATCGTTATCTATATCTCATATTTTTATTACAGTATAAAAATTTGTACTATAGTTAAAGGATAATTATTTATCAATCATAATTTGCCCTTAGAAATCATTTAAAAAATTTTATTTTATAAGTTTTGTAACGAATAAAGATTGGTATCATAAGTTCCTCCATACGCAACAATTTCACAGTTCATTCTTACAAAATAAGCATGATAAATTCATAATAGGAGTTTTGTTTTACAATGTCATAAGTGCGCTTAGAACAATAATATACCATGCAATAATTTATTATTGGCTGATTTATTCAAACGAGCATACTTAAACTTGTACGCTTAATTAATTAACACCGATAACGCAAAAATGAGAGAGATTGTGAGGCAGTGAGGATTAAATAACGTTGAGCAATGAATCATTTAATAGCAATACTGAATATATTTAGGGAAAAAATATGTACACAGAAAAGATAAGTATTTTACGTTCACAGATGCAATTCATACTGTATACTGAAAGTAAAAACATTAGAGAGGGTGCAAAACGTACCTGTTTTGTCGTGATCGGCATCTAGGATGACAGAAACTTCCAAAAGTGATAAAATATTTGCATGGAATCTGCATCTCTTGAAGAACGAACATCTATATGAACTCTATTATAGCCGCTTTTTCTTTCCAACACGTATTCCTTTGCATGCTGATAGACATCAAATTTCTCTCTTCTCTTGTGGTGAGTTAAGGACCGTAGTTTTCTCTATTTATCTTCATTAGCGCATGTGGCGTAGAATCACTCCTAAAATTATTTATCTCTTTTTGTCTCTTTTTTCTCAAACTCTTATTCTATCACACTCTTCTTCTATTTATCCCACTTCAACCATCCGTTCTCTTTTTGACCTGGTTTACTTGTCTCTTACCGCATCCCTTGTAACGTAAAATACATAACCGACACATGTCAGAGTACAAATAACACAGTCTGACTTCAAAAATGTACATTGAATGAGACAAGTCATTTCCGATTAATTTTGGATCGCTGAATCTGAATTTGGGCTCAAAAATGCTTCATCACATAAGGTTTGCAAAATATTTTAACCTAAAAATGCAAAAAACCCCATTTTTTAACATTTTGAAGGTTATGTAGCTTCGTCATTTTTCATCGAATAGTAATTATACTCAGAGCATCTTAATAAGTTGGTCTTCCTCTTTAAAGTGACGTTGAGTTTGCTCAAATATCATTAATTTTGCAGAGATATTTAATTTTGAAGATATTTCTTATTATAATTTGAATATTAAGAATTTTACAGGTCTGCTAATACACAGCAGGCTGTGCTTTACATTTGACTAGAATACTCTTATTACGTTTTACCAATAAAAATAAATCAAACACCAAAAGTCTGAGTTAATGGCTTTTTTTTAATAAATTCAATGAAAATCTTTCACAGATTAAGCTTCCGTTCATATTAAATACGAGAAATTAGCCTTACGCTATCCAAAGAGCTTTCTAGATAGACATTTAGCTTCACTTACTAGTTTAATTTATAAAAATAGTATTAAATATGTATTTTCCTTTCCACGAGTTTTAAAATCCATTAAACCTTGCTCAATCTAAATAAAGTGAAGGAAAGCTTCCGTCAAACCACAAGCCTCCAAATAGATCAAACTTTATTCTTTCTAAGTTCAGTCAACTCAAACATCAGCTAAATCACAAAGTTTCAAATCTACCAAACCCGACTCACTCAAACTCAATCAAGCATACCTTAAACCAAATCACAAGTCTTCAAACCTATCAAACCTTGTTCACTCCAAATCAATCGAGTAAACCTTTAGTCAAATCACAAGCTTGAAATTTACCAAACCTTGCTTACTCCAAGTCTTCAGCCAAAACGTAAGCCTATAAATCTACTTAACCGTGTTTCACATGAGTTTACTCGAATAAACATTTGACACAATTGTAAATATAACAAATCCACTAAATATTACTTATGTCGGACTTAACCAAGTAAACTTTCGAATAAATAGCAAGTCTTTAAATCCCGCTTAACCTCGCTTACAATGAATTTTTTACAATAATTTTGAAATAAATATACTGTAATATCATTAACTTTGTATTAACTACAAAGCCTTGAAACCTACTTTTTTCTATTCTCACTTGCTATTTATTGTCATATTGACTTATTTAAATGTGTAATAAGCAGAGTTTGTTATATTCTAAGAGCTAAGTTTAGATCAAACGTTTACTTGATTGATCTGAATTTTGTTGACCAGTGTTGGTCATCAGCTCTACTATCCTACATACAGATGAAGCATGGGTATTTAGTATATCCACCTTGCTAACGAAGAAGAATGGATATGACTCTAAAGCTTGCTCATACGACCCATTTCTTATTTGCATGCTCTAGTTTTTCTACAAGTAACTTCATATTTTCATACTTTTCATCAAGGGTTGTTAAGTATCCGATGGGAACTAATCCATACAGATTATCATTATGAAGAAGAACTGCTTTTAAACTACCCGTGGAAGAATCTGTTTCGGAAAAAAATAGATTAATTTTTCCTCACGATGTTTTACGATATAAAACATACTTCTGGATGTAAAACATCCTTCTATTGTAACTTTAAAGCTAATAGTATTGAGTTATCTTTGGAAAATCCCAAATCTCGGATTAAATCATTCACTTAAGCATGATTAAATGGGTGGGGCTTTCCAGTTGATGAACGTAGTTCTTTGTTACTGTACACTGCTGAAAATTCATTGTCATCTAGTTTTCTTTTATTATTTTTATTTCCTTCTTCATCTTTTATTTTCTCTAAAATGTGGGATGGAACAGAGGATAAATCACAAAATTTCAAATCTACCAAACCCGACTCACTCAAACTCAATCAAGCATACCTTAAACCAAATCACAAGTCTTCAAATCTATCAAACCTTGTTCACTCCAAATCCATCGAGTAAACCTTTAGCCAAATCACAAGCCTTGAAATTCACCAAACCCTGTTCCTTTAAATCCACCAAAGTCTGCTCACTTCGTCTTCGATTAAGTAAAGATTTATCAAACATACTTTTAGCCGTACTAAAAGTTTTGAAATTTACCAAACCCTGCTCTAAATTCAAACGCTAAATTTTCGTAGCACATGTGACATCCTAAAGCGAAACAATTTATTACTTCAGTGATATTTTTTTTAAAAAATGGTAGTCATTTTAATGGTTGCTGCTTGAGAATGTGATGTGTTATATTGGAAATTTCAGGCAGCTAATCTAGTATAGATGCTTAATATATTTATTTTAGCCTATACTTTTCTTTCTCATATTTTTACTCTTACCTTTCCTGCTCAAATTATATGTTCCCTGAACTTAAATAACTATCATACTCTGAGTTAATGGACTTGCGGTTGAACACCGGAATGAGCAACAGTGCAGCGTAACGCAGCAAACAAAAGAATTAAGTTAAAAAGTAAAAAGTAAGAAAAGTGAATGAATAGATAGCAGAAAAGGAACCTAATATAGAAAGGACAAGAGGAAAGTGAAGGTATGAGAAAATAAGTGGTTAGAGGAAAGTTACAGGAAGAAGAAAAAGAAGAGGCGTAAGTAAGGTTAAGAGTACCGGAGGAAGTCGCAGAAAAAGGAGGAGAGAAAGAAAAAGAATGTGCGACGAAGCAGATTACAGGAAAAAAAGAGGAAGACTATCTAAGAGAGGACAGTCTAATGGTGGAAATCCACAAGAAATGGAAATAAAAAAATTTATGGTAAAAGTGGCGGAGAGGGAATAGTCAGGGGGGAAGGACAATGAAAAATTGCATGAGGAAGAAAGTATAAAAAGGGCGAAAATAATGGAAGAAGGATATGAGTGAGCACATCAACACCTGTGAGGCGGATAATGAAAAAACTTTCACGGATATGGAAACAGCAGCTAAACAATGGGATGAGGAGAGGTTATTAGAAAAAGACAGAAGAATTGAGACAGGTAATGATGGAATAAATCAAAGAGAAAGAAGAATGGATGAGGTAAGTTACGATATAAAAAAAATTAAAAGTGAAATTGAAAGGAAAATAAGATTGTTAGAGGGGATAATTAAAGCAATATAAAGAAGCATAAAGAGGAATTAAGAATTATAGAATGGAACTGGGAAATTAGATTTGATGAAATTTGGAGAGAAATAAATAAGAAAGACTCTAAAATAAACAAATTGCAGGAGAGGATTGATGAACTGGAGAGAGAGGGACCGAGATACTAGTATAGAAGAGAGGGGGCACCAGGAGGAAGCGAAGCAATGAAAAGGAGAGAAGAAGATGACGATGCAGGGGCAAGGGAAGCATTCAACGTAAGGGAAAACAAACAGAGGGATTTCGAGGAGAGGCTACGAGGACTCTATGTGGAAGAAAACAGGAATAGGAGGGATCAAGCAAAAGGAAGATTTATGCCACCAATATAGGAAGGAAAGAAGGTGGAAAGTTACGGATAAGATGATTGATACTGAGCAAGAATATGAGAGAAAGGAAAGAGTAGCAAGGAAAAATAATATACTTGTGAGAGAGATGATGGGTTGGAGAGGGAAGAAAGCGTTGTCAAGATACAAAGAGAAACTAGAGGTCATACTAAGATCTACAATCAAGATTTATA